ATATGGGTTGCTTCTTCTGAGCCACTGGCTTTAAATGTTCTTGATGAAATTGAACCATCCATCATGCTTGACACCAGTAGTTGCCAAAATTAATATGGAATAAATGAACTGATCTAGCTTTATCAGAATGAGAAAGGTAGGGGTTAGAGCTAAGGAACAAACTGTAAATTAAGTCCTTGCTGTTCATGGTTGAACTGTCAGTATGGTAGTTTAGGCTTATAATAGATTTAATTTTGTCTTTTCAGCTTTACGGAGAAGTCCATACCCAATGTGATTATTTCACATCGGTACAAAGCCCAGGATACTCCAGCCCGTAAAACATTTGAACAAGCATTGACAGGTGCATTCATGTCAGCAGTCATCAAAGATCTGCGACCTAGTGCTCTCCCTTTTGTAGCCAGCCTCATCCGCCATTACACGATGGTGGCAGTAGCTCAGCAATGTGGTGAGTTAAGCAGGATAGAACGTACGTGGGTTGCCCTGGTATCTTGGGAGGGGCTTAGTTCGTTGTACTAAATCACTTGTTTAGGAAAAAAACAAACTTACAGTTTGCTACTCTGAAAGTCTTTGTTTTATAACATGATTTTCTCCTCACTGTTACAGCACACTTTTGAATGCATGTTCTCTCTTTTTTTTTTTTTCAAATCGTATAAACTAACTGAAACATGTTTAATTTAATAGTTTTGAAGGTATACATAAGAAGTCAGAGGTTTAAGACTTAAAAATTATACAAAAATAAGATGGGCACATCCTGTACCTAAAAATACAGTGCTTATCAAGGCTTGGAGCCATGTCTAGCTATAGCTGTAGCTATAGAAAGCATTACAGCTGTAGCTACAAGAGTCATTTTATAGATGGTTTTCCCCCATATTGGGTTTTGGACCTTTTTGATAGTTCTGAAGGATCATTGGAATAGCTGTGGAAGCGATGCAGAACACTGCTGTATCTATGAAGTAATAGTCTTGACTTGGCCCTTTCCTATAGCTCAGATGTTGAGAAAAGGCATGCTGTGCACCACTATATTCAGTGCTTAATGTAATTTGAGTTTCATAAGATGAGTTTTAATTTAATCTTCCTAGGGGACCTGTGCAATATGCAGTCACTAAATTAAAGGAAGAAACATTCCACTAAAGACAAAAAAAAAAAATTACTCCAATCCATTTACATGCAAATAAGCATAATGCTCACCAGTTTTGTAATTGGTTGATCGGAGATGATAGTCTTTCAATTAGAAGTTACTGTTGTACTGAAGTATCCATTGTCTGTTCTTTTTTCAATATAAACTATAGGGCCTTTCTTGCTACAGTGCTATCAGGTTGGAAGTCAGCCCAGCACAGCCATGTTTCATAGCGAAGAAAATGGATCAAAAGGAATGGATCCCTTGGTACTTATTGATGCCATAGCAATCTGTATGGCGTATGAGGAGAAGGAACTCTGCAAAATAGGGGAGGTGGCCCTTGCTGTGATATTTGATGTTGCAAGCATCATTCTTGGTTCTAAGGAAAGGGTAATAAAACTTTGTACTCTGCTCCAAAATACATTTTTAACTCGTAAGGAATTAAACGCGTAGTTGACACCCAACTCTTTTTTTTGTTTTTTTTGTTTTTGTTTTCAGGCTTGTCAGCTTCCTTTGTTTTCATACATCGTGGAGCGCTTATGCGCCTGTTGTTACGAACAAGCTTGGTATGCCAAGCTAGGCGGTGTGGTTTCCATTAAATTCCTCATGGAACGACTGCCTCTTATTTGGGTCCTTCAGAACCAGCAGACTTTCCTCAAGGCACTACTGTTTGTCATGATGGATCTAACTGGAGAGGTATTTCACAATTTATCTTAATTTACACTTGCTGGGCTTGCTTATCTCACAGTGTACGTGGCTGTAACAGTTGCTTTTCATCTCTTTATTTAACCTAAGTGAAGATTCAGAATGATCATATTCAGCTCTGGGTTACCCAAGTGTTAAGTGATCCATAGCTTTAATCGACAACATAATGTTAAACATACTGTAGTTTGAGTGAGCAAATGTTATCTTTCATTTTCTTTTGTTCTGTTTCTGCTAAAAAATAAGTGTATCTTGCTGTCAAGCAGCTTGTTAACAGTAGATGCTTAGAGAATAGAGTTCTTGACCTTTTCTGAGTTGTGAATTGTTCTGTGGCAGAGCTCCGAGGACGTTCCAGCCTTTAGACTTCATTTATAAAATTACACAGCACTCAGCTCTGCTGTTTTTTGGATGAATGGTATGAAGGCTGGTTTAAAAAATAATCTGTTGAACTTTTACAGATTTAAATTTCTTACAAATAGTCTTTCTCAACTGAACACGACTCTCATGGTAAAGGTCACAACTCTGCATAAGATAGTACTAACAAATCCATGACTATTTAGGTTTCCAATGGAGCAGTGGCTATGGCAAAGACGACACTAGAGCAGCTACTGATTAGATGTGCAACTCCCTTGAAAGATGAAGAAAAGACTGAAGAAATTCTAGCAGCACAGGAAAAGTCTTTCCATCATGTAACACATGACCTGGTTCGAGAAGTGACCTCTCCAAACTCTACTGTAAGAAAGCAAGCTATGCATTCCTTGCAAGTGCTTGCACAGGTTACAGGGAAAAGTGTTACTGTGATCATGGAGCCACATAAAGAGGTGAGGTGGTTGCTGAGACTGAGTAATTTTGAAGTGGTTGAATATTTCTGTTTTGTAAAATGCTTTTTTAAACAATGTTTTCACATGTGAGTTAACTAAGTTCTGAAGTGTTGTTTTAAAGTGTTTTTAATCCTGGATATTTTTTGGCTTTCATAGTAGCAGCCCAGGGCACTAACTTTCTTTCTAATGACACTTAGTGGTATAGGGAGACACCAAGGCTACTGTCTTTGAAGGCTGCTTTTCATGGTTTCTTATTTCTATGTATCCCCTGACAGGTGTCCAGAGAGGCAAATTTGTATTGGATTGTTGCTCTCCACAGGAAGGTGATAGCAGACTTGTATGCCACATCATGGTTTAAAACTTGGTTATGAAAACATTCTAGTGCATTTTAAAAGCATGTAATGCTGATATACATTAAAGAGTTAATCAGGCTGTTTGTCGACAGAAATTTCTTGGCAAACGTGTTAAGTGTCTCTACGGGGAGGATCAAAATCTTCATTCAATTTAACGTTGTTCCTGAAGTTCTAAAATGGATTTTATTCCTTTCTCTGGGCACAGACTGTTGACCACATCCCATGCTAGCCTCCATGCATGGACAATAAGACCCAGCAGTGCTGCTTCCTTTCCAGGTCCCCAGTTTAAATGTCCCCAAAGTACTTTTTGCTGGCAGGAATCAGCTTTTCTTGCTTCCCCTTGACTGAAATCCTTTTAAAATGACAACAAAAAAGCTGGTGAAGCAGACTTTCTATAAATTTGCTACAAAAGAAATGATTTCACAGTTGTAATCCATACATAGAGCAGGGAGTATATAGGATAGTGGATAGAACCACAAGAGCATTACTGAGATATCTTCTTAGTAACCTAATAGTTCATTGATTTAGACCAGGCAATTACAGAACTATTCTAAAAAGTGATAATTTGCAGGTCCTCCAAGACATGGTTCCTCCTAAAAAACACTTACTTAGACATCAGCCTGCAAATGCCCAGATTGGACTAATGGAGGGAAACACATTTTGCACAACTTTGCAGCCCCGACTGTTTACAATGGATCTCAATGTTGTGGAACACAAGGTTTTCTACACAGAGGTACTTCATTTTTTTTATATGCTCTGTTATTTTAAACATAATGACTGTACAAAATAATTCTAAGCACTGTCAGTATGTTATAAATATGCATATGCAGCAATAATGTACTTACTATAGATTGAATCTTATGCTCTACCAAATGCAAGTATCAATACTTGCTGTTGAATTTAAGCTTTAGTTCTGATTGGGAATGTAGCTGTTGAAATGCATACTGAAGTCCTGCATGTCTGTGCCTGTGAACTGAAACAATTTAAGATGCCTAGAATGTTTTTGTGTCAGAGGTGTTAACTCCTCATCCTGATATGATACTTTCAGTATTGATCTTCAAGTGCCTCAGGCCTAATTTATACACCCTTTTATTTTTGGCAGTCATTTAAGTAAATTGGTACAACTCCCAAGTGTAGACTCAATTATGTTAGTATTAAAGTGCTTATATTGGTTTAGCTTGTGTCCAGTAACTGCTTTAACTAAATGCATTACAAACTGTAAATAGACCAACTTTCAATCCTGATTTCTGGTTGATAAACATCCAGTTAGGTTTCTTAGTGCTCCACAGAAATAAATGAGCAAAAAAGTATGGTCTTTTAGAACTAAGGCAGTCCAGAAAAGAGAAGGCTCGCCTAATGTCCTAGCTATTGTATTGAAGCTGATTAAAATCCTATATTTCCCCATAACCCAAGAAAAATTGTCTAGCCGCCTTGTCTTTCAACTGCATTGCTCCCAGTGTACTTGGCTTTCAAAGGTTCGTGACTCCAATGAGCTATCTCAGTGTTGAGGTTGTGGATCAAGACAGATGGATTCCTGTTTCCTCTCTGAGATGGAGACATCCCGTATTTTGTCCTCAAGCAAAAGAGAGGAGGTTGAAAAAAAAGTGTAGTAAGAGCATCCAATTCCTCCCCTATGCATTAAGTGTGTCAAATATTAATGTCCACTCACCAGTTAACTTCCATGTTTAACAAAACATCTTAATTTCTGAAAGTTTCTTGTTCCCCCTGAACTTAACCCCTTTACTCAGTCTTTAAAACTTGTGTGCACTCCATAGTCTACATTGGTCTCGAAACCATCACTCTTCTTATCAAGGTTGCTTCAGGCCATTATGATGATCTGCCTTCTCAGTCTCGTAGTTTCATAGTTTCTAGGGTCGGAAGGGACCTGAGCAGATCATCGAGTCCAACCCTGAGTCAGTCAGGCGTGGTGAACTCCTGGTTGCCTTGACATTGACTGAAACCTGACCCAAGGAATAGAAGCTCCTGTATGGAAAGGAGTTCTCTCCTGAGCTAGATAGAGTAGCAAGCTAGGAAATTAATTGTGCGTGTTGACACTTTAAGGCAGTGGTCACCAGTGGAGATCCGCTGGTAGATACTGGAGCCTCTTGGAGTCGATCCAAGGTTGGGGTGTGGGGCTGAGTGCCCGCGTGCATGCACGTGTGCACCCCAGCCCAGCAGGTCAGTCCCTGGGGAAGGGATGGGGCAGGGGCTAGATTGAGCCCTCTGTGGTAAGGGACAATGCTGCAGAGGTAAGTTGAGCGGGGCCCTGGCCAGTTGGGACTTACCTGTTGGGGAAGTGCGCCCCCAAATAGTTTTTTCTCCTCTGCCTCGATCTGCTTCCCCACCCTTCCCTTCACACAGGCTTACCTGCTGGGCAGGTTGTAGAGGAGGATAGCAGCAGTACACGTAGATCTTGGGTTGATTTTAAATGCCAAAGGTGATCTTAAAAAGGTTGGAGACCACTGCTTTAAGGGTTGGAAATGTGTTGCATCTATCATGGAAATAAATGCTTATTTGAAAACAACTTAAAGTTACTAATTGCAAAGAGCAGAGCTGTGTGGAAGGGATTATTACTGTATAAAAAATTTTAACTGGAAAGATTGTTTTGACCTCTTTCATAGTAGTTGCTGGACTAAACTTGTCTTAAATTTCAGCTGTTGAATTTATGTGAGGCTGAAGATGCTGGTTTGATGAAATTACCTTGTTACAAAAGTCTTCCATCGCTTGTCCCTCTTCGGATTGCTGCTTTAAGTAAGTTGAAGCATATAAGTGAAGCTTTTAGTAAGTAGGTGTTGTGAAAAACGGCCATGTTTCTTCACAGTGGTTTATATTCATGGTTTTGGGATAGTTTGTGGGAGCCTGTATTTTGAATGAATAAGATTCTTCAAAGTGATGAATCAAATGATTTTTAAAAGCAATAAAAAAAAGTTAATTTGAGAGAGTGAAAAAGTAAACTAGGCATCAACTTTTATAGGCAGCAGGATTTTGAATCTTTGTTTTTTCCAAGCATGACTTTATTGCCAGACTTAATAAAAAAGATAGAATAATATGCTCTGAAAATGAGTAATTCCTAAATATTTACTTTGATGACAAGGACTCTAATTAAATGTTGTATCAAAAAATACTAGCACTTTTCTGAATATTTGTCTTATTCCCATATTGCCATTTTCTCTTACTTGCTTTCTTGGCATTAGTCTTTCTCCCTTGCTGAAACCGGTTTGATTGCATATATAGAAGAGCAAAGTTTGGTCTTTATTATCTTTTTACATAATCTGTTTTGGTGACAGTGTTTCTGAGGTTGGTTATTTACAGTCAGCTTTTTGGCCCTAAGTATTTGAACTCAAAAATATATTTTTGGAATAATTACCCTGAACAGCACTTGGGATATCTAAAAACACTATTAATAGTAGCTCTGGTCTTTTTTTTTTCCTCTTGTGAAATCTGTTGCTTTTGGCAATGCATGGTAAACTTTAGTTGTCAGTAATTTCTGTTGAAATAGAAGAAACAGAAAAAGGGAATAAAAACAAAAATTGGCTTACCTCTTTGTATTTCAAGTTAACAAGGAAAACAAAATTACTTTTGATTTTTGCAGATGCTCTAGCTGCCTGCAATTACTTGCCTCAGTCAAGAGAGAAAATTATTGCTGCACTTTTCAAGGCACTTAACTCAACAAATAATGAACTGCAGGAGGCAGGAGAGGCATGCATGAGAAAGGTTAGTGATATTAAAACAATACTGCTTTGGTCTATCCTTTTTTGCTTTTCCCAAGAAACAGCATAACAAAGAATCTGTGTGTCTACTAGGATTCATGACTGGTTTGTTATGTTTATCTCCAGAGTGGCACCAATATAATTGAGTTTGTCAGAAGTTTTTGGGAGGATGTGAATTTAGCCATAACAATTTCCTTCACTGAAACTAGGCATACAAGCTTTTGATTAGAGACCACATTTTCCTTTAGGACAGCTACAGTCAGTGTTTTCTTATTCCAGAGTTAAAGATATGCCAGTCCTAACCCCCCAAAATAGTCTTATCTTTTACATGCTTTCAGTGTGTTGCTAGTCCTCTGATACAGATTCAATTACAATGTAGCAGTTTGATTGCACTTATTTGGTGCATCCAGACGAGTATGGCCGATCGATTATGTGGTGCTGCAAACACGTCTGCAGTGCCACGTACTGCACAGTCAGGTGTTCTCCGTGTTGCAAGGGAGCACTGCCCACGCATGCGCTGCTCTGCATCTTTTTCCATGGGGTTTTGTTTTTTTTCCTTTTTTGACCCCTGGATATCCTGTCAGCCAGGCTCTGCCTGGTAGGATCACTGCTGCTGTAGCCGCAGGAGGCCCCCAGGGTCCCAGGTAAGGCTGCTGGGGCTGGCCCAGTGCTGACTTCAGCTTCCCCTACCCCACCCAGAGTAACTTGCTGTGCACCAGGGACAAATAGCTGTAGTGCAAGATGTGCTAGTGCTGCTTGTCCCCAGGGAACCAAACGTCTGTGCTTGTCTGGACGTGGCCATCGATACTTAATGTATATTTACTATTTATCATCCTCTTCATAAAGAGGGGCAGACATGCTAGCTTACTACACAGAGTGCATGGTCCACATAGACTCTAATATCTGTCCCTTGAAAAGTATTCACGCTAATGCTGGTGGCCTACAGCAGCGGTTGCTCAACCTGCAGACCCCTGGGAGACCCTTATGAGCCAGCACATGATCAAACACATGGCCAGATCTGATTGGATGGGGTCTTGCCTAAGGCTGGATCTGGCTGTGCAGGGCCAGAAATTTGAGCGCGACACAACTGCAGATTTGTAGGCCCTATATATGCTAGGGGTCAGGTACTTTGCTGGGACTGAGCTTTCTCCATTGCAGCAGGAAAGAAAGTGTTGGAGATGGTTAACTCTTTATTCCTAAAGTCTGACCTTGATAAAAGTTAGAGAAGCTAAGGGGCTGCTTTGTATTACGCCTCTGGTGTAGGATGTTCATCTCTTCTGCTCATCACCACAATAATGTGGGACTAGTTGGGACAGAAGCAGCTTTATACCAGGGAAAAATCTCTCTTGCTGTTTAAAGCCAAATCCCAGGGCCCTTTTATGCTACCTTGGAATGCAGAAGGATTGTGGGAGTTCTCAGCCGAAAACCTGGCCTTATGGTTTTCAAACCAAGTTTATAACCAGTTACTGATGTGATTGGCTCTAAATATTGCTTGTCCATGTAGTGTTAGTACTTCATAACAATATGGTAACTTGCAGTGTTTCATTCTTGCTTGGGGCATAAGCTAGTACTGACTTGTCCTATAAACTCTTCCACATGCTGCTTTTTAATTGTGACCAGGTCCTTCTGCCTGTGGTTGTGGCCCACATATGGGTAACTGTTTTGCTATCCTCCCAATCCCTTTCAATAAGATACTTTAAAGTGCATTACTGGTGACCATTTCTTCATCTGTTTTCTGGTATCTATCTCCCCTTATTGAGGCAATATAGATTTATTACCTACACTTCCTCCTTTGGAAATGCAGTTCTGCAACATGAGTGGGTGGAGACATTGAACACCAGTCTGTGTATATTGTGGAAACATAATATGAAGACAAAGTTAGTCAAGTTAGTTTCTAATATAGATGGAGCCATTACATTCTGTCTTGTAATTTTAAAACCGCTGGTTTAATGAAGAAGAGAGGAAATGATTCCACACTACTACTCCATTTTAGAATTCCACACTTAACACTAGTAATATAAGAAGAAAATCTCCAGTTTGCATGCATCAGGATTAAGCACGTTCTTCTTGGGTCCATGCTGCCATGAATTGTAGTTTTTAAAGCTGGACATCAGCAGTATCATTTTTATTGTGCAGCTGTGAACTTAAAAAAAAAATGCAGAGCCTTTTCTGCATAATTGCTTTGTGGAAGCGTCTCTTCAGAAGTAACTGAATTTTATGGCAGTTGCTTTACTTCTTTGCAGTTCTTAGAAGGAGCCACAATAGAAGTAGATCAAATTCACACACACATGAGACCGTTGCTTATGATGTTGGGAGATTATCGAAGCCTGACATTAAATGTTGTGAACCGTCTGACTTCCGTCACACGCCTTTTTCCAAACTCTTTTAATGACAAATTCTGTGACCAGATGATGGTAAGTCCCATTAATGGTTTTTACTATTCTTGATAAGAAGATTTATTTTAACTGAATTTGTTTCATCTGACATCCATACAATTCAAGAGTCGAAGAAAGCCGAATTGTGAATTAATGAATAGAATTACGTGAGAGGTTTCCCTGCTTTACTAATTGTCAGTGTTAATTTACATTATTAAAGGTTTGCGTGATTAGAATTTGAAAACCATACTCTAACTGAACTTGGGGGGTGGAGGGCTGGGACTTTCATCTATTGAAGTTAAACTTGGTTATACTCCCAGGACAAATTTCTTCATCTAAACATGGGCTGTCAGGATACATGCTTGTTTTCCTTTTGTAGTTGGATAAACATTGCCTGGGCAGGTTGGTGCATCTTTTGAATGCTAAAATGATAGTACTGTAGTCTCCCTTTTTATATTTGAATTTCATAATGCAAAAGGAAAGCCTTGATCACTTTACCATTGGCTCTTGTCCATTAAAATGTGAACAGATAATTTGACCAGATATGAACCAGTAGCATATGTGTAGGGATGTATGAGGGTGTCCAGCCTCAGATGCCAATTTAGAGGGGGCCTCTTTGTGTCTGGGACTTAAATGTCTTTCCATCGGTCTTCATACACTTTAATTTCTGTCCCTTGAAAATATGGTGGAAAAGGACTTGCAGCTTTCTTTGAATATCAACAAATTTGGGTTCTTTGGGATTAAATGGTGAAACTTGCTCCACAGTTGAGGGTCCATAACAGCCCTTTGGTAATCTCAACTGTTGTTGTACCACGTGGGGAATGAATAGGCAACCATTACAGGTTTTCCACTCTCTTTAGAAAAACTTCTATGGCCTGCTGCCTTTTTAAAACCTAAATGTTCTTAATGATCTTGAGGTGAAGCATATTAGCACCCTGGTTTTGAAATGACAACCATGGATATCTGCGTTCAGGGGGTTAAAAAAAGGACTGCAGCTTTCAAATTAAGCATAGATTGATTAAAACTCTTCTGGCTGTAGTTACCAAGGCATTTGAGAAGCAGTCTTTCAAAACACACCTGGAGCAAACTATTGGGTTGCAAGTAACAAGCTCACCTCCCCAATCAACAGAGCTAAAATAAATGCAACCAATTTATTTATTTTTCAGTTTGTTCCTTCAAACTATAAGCAATTTCAGCTTCAGCTTCATCTGGTGTAAATCTTGCTGTGACCGGTATTGTTGCTTTGTTTAAGTGGAACTGTAAAATTAGGGTAACAGTGCTACTGTTTAATTTCTTTACAGCAACACCTGCGTAAGTGGATGGAAGTGGTAGTTATTACACATAAAGGAGGACAGAGGAGTGATGGAAATGTAAGTGAATGGTTCCTTTTATGGAGGAGGGAAAAGCTGAAGTAAATAGTACAAAGCTTTGGGAAATGCAGAATTTATTCACTTGTAGATATTACTAAAATTAGTTGCACGCTGATGGGTTTTTATGACAAAGCAACATAAAATTATTGAATATTCATGAAAACTTCAAACTTCATCCAGGAAACTGCTTACCCAGTGTGAGTGACAGCTTATGCCCTAAATCTGCAAATGGGTTGGGTGAGCATACCCTTGCTGTTTTTAGGGGACTGCCAGATTAATGTTCTCCCTTCATGGAATGGATTACAAAATAAGATGGTTGCATCATCCCTATTATAATATATTATAGCAGCTCTGAGCCTTTTGGATAGGGCAGGATATAAACCTAATAATTAATAAATAAAACAAAGATCACACCATAATCTCAAACGAGACAATCTTATTAATTATTCAACTTAGGTTTGATAGTCATTTGTTGAATATGTTGGATGTTCATGTTGCATTTTGTCACAAAAATTTATATTACATACAACATTTCTCTCCATCTTCAGTACGGTTTCTGATTTAAAAAAATCCATAGTTAAGGTGGCTGTCTTATGATAAGTAACAGTGAGATTTTTGTGAGCAGTTTTGATTAATTTCCTTGCACATTGCAAGTCAAAGAGCGTAAAGACAAAAGAGTACTATAGTTGTGGGCACTTCTATTAGGGTGAAGACTTGTTGCAATCCAAATTAGGAAAGAATTCTCTTTTAGTTTTCAAATTGGTCTGGGTGGCTTTATTTCAAGAAATCAGAACGGTGACTTTCTTACAGTTTTCTCTTACCTTTTCTTGTCCTTTTGAAAAAGAACTTACAATCTAAGTTTGGTTATCATTACTTAAATGGCACGAGATATTTAGTACTGAAACTGGTTTTATCTTTATGCTTGCATTAAGATTTAGAAGTGGCTACTGTGCAAGCATGTTGAGTAAATACTGCTATTTTATCAGCTGCAGCACAGTACTGTGCAAGAGGCAAGGATGTCTTAGGGTGATATCTTTTATTAGACAGAGTTATACTGTTTTATTTACGTATATTCTTTTATATACATAAAAGAATGTGTGCGTGTGTATTCTTTTATAAGTGTGTAACTAATTCTAGAATATATGCATTAGAATTCTCTTTACTGTGATGTACCTGGCTCGTTCTGATCCAGACCTGTTGAAGAATGCCTTGCATTTGAAAGTTCATCTAGCTCTATCTCCATCATACAGCTGGTCCAATTAAAGATATCACCCTAAGCAATCCTTCTCTCACCTAGTTTCTGGACCATCATAAATACAGCATCACTCTTACAGTACAGTATTATAGCCTTCATAGACTTATTTTTGGGATCCATTTTCCCCCCCATCCCCCAATTCCAATATACATAGATAAGACTCAAATGTTATTGTGTGGCCTTTTAGTCAGCAGTAGGGCATGGCTGCAAGCAGCTCTTTGTCTAGCTGTCCCTAGCTGTTAGAGGTTGCACACTTAATTCTTTTGCTTTTAAGTGTTTCCTGTCAGAACCATGTTTCTTTGTTACTTGTTTTTTTTTAATTTTTTAAAATTGAGTCTTCTAAAGATTGTCTTAAAATGGAAGGGTGGAGAAAGCAACCTCCCCCCCCCATATAACCAATTGTTGAATTGGAATGAAAAAATATTTTAAACGATGTGAGTTCTTTGCACTAGGTGAATATATTCTGATTATTTTTGGTTACACATGTGATATACTCTCAGATAACTATTTCCAAAGGTTTAAAAAAATACAAATATTGGTCAGCTGAAATAAAAGCATTTTGACACAGTGATATTATAACAGTTTACATAACAGATGACATTTATGTAACCATAAAGTGCAATGGGTTTTGGTTTTTTTTTGCTTTTAATCTTCTGAGAGAGACTGTGGTGTGGCCACTTGGCTAACTGGCTGTGCTTAATGTTTAATCCTTTTTTCTCAGTAGGGGTGGGAGGACTGTGGAAGCTCACTGGTTCAAATTAAAAATAGTTTTCTAGACTGGGTCTTTAAGTAAACTGACTGTTAGTAACTAGATTCAGGAGATTATGACCTCAGTGGAGTCTGAGAAGAAAAGAACTAGGAACCCATTTATTACTTAGGGGAAAAAATAAAAGGATAGTTTGAGGACACTATATTACAATTAAAACAAATGAATAAAACCTTTTCCCCTCGTTTAGTGAGTGATGGAAAGGAGAGAATTTAGGATATGTCATTTTTGAACACCCTTATTTTGATCCAGGTTTTGTCGTACAGATCTCGGAGCTAAACCGAATAACTGGCAAGGCACTAACCTGTTTACTTCCTGTTGAAACACGATTGCAGAGTTCTCCAAAGCCACGTGTTTTCAACAAAACAAACGCTAATTCCAAACCAACCCAAAACATTAAAAAGCATCTTTTTAAAAAAAATTTGAGTTCCATTTATTTAGTAAGCTTTTTCAAGTTTGACCTGAAATCAGAGATTCACAGCACAAACTGTCCTGCAGGCTACTTATAAGTTACTTTTCAAATTAGGCATGTGTGCAGACAGGCAGACTCGTGGGCCATGTATTGGGTATGTCTGCCGTACTGGAATACTGGATTCCTTACCTACATCGCATAAAATGGGTCTTTTTATAACCTGTCTCCCTGATCACTTACCTGTTAAAACAACACTTCTAGTTGGAATGCAACTTTTTATTTATTCTTCCAGTGCTAGCTATATATATATATATATATATATATATATATATATATTCTTAAACACTAGTCTTCTCTAGCATTTTTCAGAATATGCGAAATGAAATCTTTCCCCTTCATCAGCAATGCTGCTCATGTGAAAAGTTGCATTGAGGAGAGGTGGGAAGCTGGAGTCCATTCGAGGGACTTTTGTAGGTTGTTACAAAGTGCTGAAGGTTTTTGTTGTCTATGTTGGCCATACTTGTGTGTGTACATATTCCAATATTGTTTCTGCTGTCTTGTTCACCCCGAATATTTTTACTGTGTACAAGATTATGGGACGTTATGTATAAACGATGTACAAATAGCAAAAAAGATGCTTTTCCTCCCCATCCTCAGGAGAGCATTTCAGAGTGCGGGAGATGTTCGTTGTCTCCATTCTGTCAGTTTGAGGTGAGAACATAACCCTATTCAAGTCAGTTTCTGACTGCAATCTGAAGAAGAGCATATACTTTTTTTTACATTTTTTGTGTTTTCTTTTTGTTTTTGTTTTGTTTTTCATGCTGTAATTTTTGTTTTGGTTCAGCCTGCCGTGGAAGGGGTAGAGGTGAGCCATTCAGTGGAGGCACCAGGAGGTTCTTTGTTGTTGTGTTTGGTTTTTTGCTGTGACTTGTTAGTTGTATTGTTCTGTAATGGGCAGAGTGCATTGTGCCTTTGAGTGCAGTGCTGTGAATTGTCCTATGTTTGTCTGTGGCAGAGTTGTTTAAGTAACCTTGCTGTGAAGGATGTTAAGCATGTTTGTACTAGGAAGCTTGGAGCAGGATTTTAAGTGTTTTTTTTTTTTTCCCCCCAAAGGAACTAATATTTCAGTGGCTCTTATTGGGCCCCAGTCCTGCAATCTGATCTTCCCAAGTGGCCACGGGAGGCTTGTCTGTGCAGATCGGACCACAGGGCTGGGGATGAATGCTTTGCATTTAAATTCAGTTTAGGAAACACAGCCCATCAGATAGTATCCCACTATAGATATGGTGTATAGTGCAGGTTAGAAATTGATTTCTATTCAGTGATTTAAAAAAAAAAATTCCAATTTGATAGAATATATACTTTGTTGCCCTAGGAAAATAAATTTTAATCTATACAGTTAAAAAAAGGTAAAATTGCTCATACATTGGAAGTGAATATTTGGTGGGGAGCAGAGCTGAATTATACAATGTGCAATGATTATTGCTGGGAGGGAGATGTCCATCTAATTTACTGTTGTGGGATGCATTTGGAAAATTAGTTTTGAGGAGAATGTTTGGATTTCAAAGTTTGAGCCACTTGGCATTGTGCAGCTGTGGACACTCATAACTTCTGTCATCACCATTTTCATTACACACAGTCTAGTGTTTAACACAGAAACATCCCTACTAAAACATTTATGTTGAAATGGGGGTGGATATTCCCCAGAACAGATTTTTTTTTTTTTCATGTATTGGGGTAAGTAGTTGCTGTTTATATGTTAACTTGGCTTTTGTTTGCCAGTTATGCTAATATTTATAGAGAGAAAAGTAGCTTTTGGTAGGATCTGTAATAATATGTTCATATCATTAGGTAGCAAATGTTAGTTTACTCTGATTCTGTTTTTCTTTATCTGTAGGAAATGAAGATTTGTTCAGCGATCATTAACTTATTTCATCTAATCCCGGCTGCTCCTCAAACTTTGGTAAAACCTTTGCTGGAAGTCGTGATGAAAACGGAACGGGCTATGTTGATTGAGGTAAGTGGCATTTAATTATGCTAATTGTTTTAATTAATGCTTTACAGTAAGTTCATTGTACACGTATCTTGAATTGTTCCAGTCACCCCTGTAGGATTGTTTACTATACAATATTGATTTTTTGGAAATTTATTTTTTTATTTTTAAAAGGTGCACTATTTCATTGTTTGTAAGTGCTAACAAATTCTTGGGATGGGCATCCTAAATACTTTACATCGGTGTAAGTTCTACAATAAGTGTTAATTTTTACTAGGTATTGGAAGACAAATGGACAAATTGAATAAAGAAACATATTTTAATGGAAACTTTATTTTAATCTCTCAGGCTGGTAGTCCATTCAGGGAACCACTGATAAAATTTCTGACACGTCATCCATCCCAAACTGTTGAGCTGTTTATGATGGAAGCAACTTTAAATGATCCACAGTGGAGCAGGATGTTCATGGTAACTTTTGCAGAGGACTGTCACCTTTTAAGTGTAACAAGTCAGAAATTATTGATATGGCACTTAACTGTGTATTGTTTCCCTTTCCTTATGATCACCTCTTCTTGTATCAATTTAATCTATTCATTAATGTAGTTGTTTAGCCTTCGGGGCTGTTGATTTGGCACTCTTTATGACCATTAAGTCAATACATAAAATTTGGTACTACTGAAGTCATATAGAGAGGTGTGCTTAGAGCTGCAGAGAGAAGATATGCTTTAGCATTTTTTTTAAATGCACTTCTAAAATGATTTTTTTAAAACCCTTTTTGTTTAGAGTTTTCTAAAACACAAAGATGCAAAACCTTTAAGAGATGTCCTGGCAAGTAATCCAAACCGATTTATCACTCTCTTGTTACCTGGTGGTACCCAAGCAGCTGTTAGACCTGGCTCTCCAAGTACTACCACAATGCGTCTTGATCTTCAGTTTCAGGCTATTAAGGTATTGCTTTGTTTTTCAGATACCCTGCGTGGTTCAGGGGTGGGCAAAATATGACCTGCAGGCCAGATCCGGCCTGCCAGGGGATTTCATCTGGGCTATGGGCACCTATCAATTAATTGTACCCCTCTCAGCTCACAAACTTTTCTCCCACCGTCATGTATGGGAGGGTCCAGGCCCCAACCCTGGCCAGCATGCACAGCTTCCAGGCGGGGCTGCTGCTGCCACTGCTGCAGCCACCAGGAGACTTGCTCGGTTTCCCCAGTGTCCAGCAGCTCCTCCTTGTGTCCCTGCTGCAGTGCTTGTCCTGGGCATTAGGTAGGGAAGCTGCAGCAGGGTGGGAACCCAGAGCGTGGGGCTGGGGCTGGTGGGAGTGTGGAGCTTGGGCTCTCACCCAGCAGGATGGGAAGAGCGTAGAGCCCAGGTTGGCCTGGTCCATTGCAACTGGCTTCCCATTGCTCATATGAAGCTTTTGGGGCATGTGTGTCACTGGGGAGAAGTTCTGTGCAATGGAGCTGGCTTCCTTCCCCGCTCGCAGGACTCTGTGGAAAGTGGCAGGGAGCCCTGCTTCCTGGTGGAGTCCTGGAAACTGAGCGGGGCCAGGCCACCAGCTCCATCACATGGGGCTCCCCCTGGTGGCGTGCAAGTCCTGGGAGCTGCATGTGAGATGTGGGGAGCCCTGCATGATAGAGGCGGGCTGACCTGACTTTGCTCCTTGCTGCCACATGCAGCTCTGGGAACTGGCTGGAACTGTGCGCTACTGGGCGGCTGCACCTGCACAGGCCATGAGTACCCCGAGGGCCTGCTACTGCTGCCACTGCCAAGTGTGCGGCTTGTGGGGGAGGGTTCCCCCCTCAAACCCTACACACCCACACCCTGCCACAACCCCTCACATACATACACATACGAATGCCCCACAACATACTCTACACACCCCCACACCCTGCCCAAAGCCCCCCACACATGCACGCACCCCACCATACATACACCCACACACAACATACAAGAGTAAGACTTTATTTTTGAGCTGTTAAGTAATCATCTCTATATATACTATGCAAAAGCACACATATCATGGCAAGAATATTTTTTAGAATAAAATGAATATATATTGTAGTAGATGTTTGACTTTTAGTGTATGATTTGGTTTTTTTCTTGTTCCAAGATGGCAACTACCCCTCTCCCCCCAGGAGTACCTTCAGGGGCAAGGGGAGGAGCTTCCAGTGGCAAAGGTCAGGGGTTAGGGACAGGGTTTTCAGTAGGGTGGCCATCATAGAGGATATTCCATTTTTCTGTACTCTGTCCTCTATTGATATGAAACCCAATGCCATTAAAAACCATACAGGCGTCTGGTTTTTGTATCAATAGAGAACACAGGACACCCAAACTGTCCTCTATGATGGCCACCCTAATTTCCAGTCCCAAGGTGGTGACCAGAGGGCAAGGTACCTGTCAATATGCAGGGCTACTGTTATGGCCCTTGAGCTCACCAAAACTCATTAAGTGGCCCTTCAGCTGAAATAATTGCCCGCTGTGGCGTAGTTCAAATCTGTGTTGAAGGATGTTGGTTATACATGCAAAGAAGCATGGATTCACTTGTTCTTTAATGTTTTTTAGCTCCAATAAAAGCTTAAAAATAAACCATTTCTGTCCATATTTGTTAGCATTATCTTAGGGAATGAGAAGGAAGAAAATGTCAAATTAACTGCCTTTTATTTATTTTTTTTAAGGCAGGTAAGATGCAGGCAATAACCTGGCAGGAAAAGAGGATTTTTTTTTTTTTAAAGTCTAGATGGATGAAATGACTTTTTTCTGCTTTTGATTTATTAGCATGATACTGCCAGAGCTGAAGAGGGATGTTCAAAATAAATATTACTGGAGCTGGAAACAAAAAAGAAAGATGAATGCATGTGAGAATTTTTCCATGGACTTTGAGTCCAGTAGACTCTTGGTTAGGCCAAACCTAAGTGTGTTCCTTTGCATCAGGATTGCTGCTATCTACTTTACATTTGTTGTTTGTATGTTTTGTCTTGTTTGTGTTTTGACAGATCATAAGTATTATAGTTAAAAATGATGAGTGTTGGTTAGCAAATCAGCACTCCTTAGTGAATCAGCTAAAACGTGTGTGGGTAAGCGAAGCTTTTCAAGAGAGACATCGTAAGGAGAACATGGCCGCAACGAACTGGAAAGAACCTAAACTGCTGGCATACTGCTTATTGAATTATTGCAAGTAGGTGGAACTAACATTTTATTCCTAATTGATCAAGTCAATGGTTTCCACATTTGTTAATACCCTTTACTTCATGTTCAAAATAAAACTACAGGATAATGCTTTGTGGCATATGAAGTTGTAGAGTATGAATATAAAATACTATAATGCTGCCTTCAGCACTGAAACCACATGTTCCACCTACAGTGTTCTTCTGACTGTGAATATTTAAACCAAAAGTGAATCCTTCATCAGTCTGGCAGAATAACTGGTAGAAATTTCTTACAAAAAGCTTTTAATTTATGTTTGTTCTTACAGAAGGAATTATGGTGATATAGAATTGCTCTTCCAGCTGCTTCGGGCTTTTACAGGTCGTTTTCTTTGCAATATGACATTCTTAAAGGAGTACATGGAAGACGAGATCCCCAAAAACTACAGTATTGCTCAGAAAAGAGCTCTTTTTTTCCGGTTTGTAGACTTCAGTGACCCAAACTTTGGAGATGAGCTCAAAGCCAAGGTAAGTAAAGCCATTAAATTAAAGTGGGCTGGTATTTAGGTTTAATTTTCTTTCTGGGAACCAGGGCAAAAAAACTTGCTTACTTAAATGTCAATGAGTTCAATAATTGGTAGAGCCATTTATGTGAAAATACCAAACAAGGAAGAGTAATAATAGGTAGAGTCAGCAATTCATCTTGCTTTCAACACTGAATATTTCTTAGTCTCTCTTCTCTAGGTGACAGACTTTCTTGTCTTTTGGGGGTGGGGTGCAGGGAATAAATTCACATACATCTGCCTTAAATCTTTTATCTGCAGCCTCTATAACTATAAGAACTGGAGAACTTTGAGAGTCTGTAACTGCACTATATTGCTTGTCACTAGTTGGAAATAAACTCAAATTTTAACATTATTAATTTAGCCTCCTGCATTATAGGTGCTGCAGCATATCTTGAATCCTGCTTTCTTGTACAGTTTTGAAAAGGCAGAAGGAGAACTGCTTTTGGGACCACCCAACCCAGAAGGAGACAATCCAGAAAGTATCACCAGTGTTTTTATAACAAAGGTATCATGCCTTGTTTGCAGTAAAGCATTTGAAAGTAAAAATTGATGTGTATTACCCCACACGGCCATTGGCATGTCTATCCTTAACTGAATTATCATTGCTATTTCAATCTAGGGCTTTCTACAAGTATAAATGATCAATTATTTTGAATTGAATAATGGTCCCAGAGGGAAATGCAGCAGGAGCTTGAATGAGTCTAGCAAAACTTAATTTACTGGTGATGTTCAGATCCTACTAACATATATCTTCAGAAATAAGATTCATTATTGTAATCTGCTCCATCACCTACATTGAGCAGCGGTTTTACAGAGACATTGAAATTCAGTCACGGGACTTACATGTGCTTAGTAGTAGTCAGCAAATATAAAATGGGGATTGATGAAGGTGAGCATTTTAGGGCTGGATCTTCAGAAGTGCTCAGTTTTCTCTCCCATTTTGGAAATGACTCATGTCATTAACTTCCTGTGTGGGAGGTGAGCTTAGATGAAAGTCTTACTCAATTGTTGGTGCTGTCCAGTTTAGGAAACATAACTATAAATAGACATATGCTGTGTAAGTAAAGGTAATTTGCTCAAGAGATTAAAAGCTGGATAGGTGTTACATAGACATGAGCACTTTTCAGCAAAATGGGCTAATAGGTGGTGACAAATTGCTAAAATTTCTCGGGATTGTCCATAAATAAAGTAATGTCAGGAACGTGTTTTCTCATGGGCTTTGACCTGTGCATGGTTTTTATATCTAATACATGTAGGACTTATGGCAATATTTCACTGGTTTGTTTTTTTTCTTCCTCCTCTTTCCCCACCTTCATGTTCCTGGGAATAGGTACTTGACCCAGAAAAGCAAGCAGACATGCTGGATTCGCTCAGAATTTATCTCCTGCAGTTTGCTACACTTCTTGTTGAACACGCCCCACATCACATTCATGACAATAATAAGAACCGCAACAGCAAGCTACGGCGCCTGATGACCTTTGCCTGGCCCTGTCTTCTGTCTAAGGCGTGTGTGGACCCAGCATGCAAATACAGTGGGCATTTGCTTTTAGCACACATCATAGCAAAATTTGCAATACATAAGAAGATAGTGCTGCAGGTATTTTCTACATATTTGCATTTAAAAAAAATTGATGTTATGCCGCTTAACTACTTATCTATGGTGTGTGTGTGCTTTTTGGTCCTTTGTTTTATAATCTTGCATCTGTAATGGAGGGTAGAACTGTACAGAAGTAATAACTAAAACCCCAAATACAGAAAAACTCAGTCAGGGCATAAGTGCCAAAGGAGTAGTCAGAGAAGATCCTGCCTTGAGCAGGGGGTGGACTACATGACCTTGTGAGGTCCCTTCCAGTCCTATTTCCCTATGATCCTAAGACCAAGACCACCTGGGTGGCGTTTGTACAGAGAGAGGGACCCACAATAGACTGTGCTGAGAGGAGTTTGTGAGGTAGGACAGTCACCTGCTGGCCCTAAGAAATGAGAGCCTTTTGCAGAAGGGACTGGTTCCTGGTGCTAGAGGCAACACAGATCAGAGAATGAAAACAGCTTAGTTTTAGAGGAGTAACTTGCAGGGGCAGAAGTTAATTGAGTGGTGTCATGGAGCCAATTGAAGCCAATTCAAGATTTGTGCTTGTAGATGGCAGAGTCAAACGGCACAATGATGGGGAAATAGAGATTGGGCACTAAAAAACCACCATATTAAATGTAAAAGTTTCTTAAAGTGAAGAGTCAGCAACTTTATTTCAAGGAACTGAGTTTGAGATAGGCAGGGATAAATGTCAAGGGATTCTTAGGAGAGAGAATATAGTAAAATTTAGCATTGGTCATTAAGAAAGAAGAGAAGCAGGGAAAGAAGAGATTGTTCTAATCCCTACAAGTGAAACTTATTGCTGTATAAATACCTGTCCAAGTTAAGTCTTAAAAAGCGCTGTGTTGTTTACATTGGACTTTTTGTTAAAATGTAGTTTATTTCTTTTAATTTCTTTATTTTTGGCAAATTTGTTCAGTTTTCTAAAAAGACTTATTTTCCTTTAAGGTTTTTCATAGTCTCTTAAAAGCTCATGCAATGGAGGCTCGAGCTATTGTCAGACAGGCAATGGCTATTCTAACTCCAGCAGTGCCTGCCCGGATGGAGGATGGACATCAGATGCTGACTCACTGGACACGAAAAATCATTGTAGAAGAGGGTCATACTGTTCCACAGTTGGTCCATATTTTGCATTTAATAGTGCAGCATTTTAAGGTATGTATACACTTACCAGCTGAAGAATTGAGCTTAACTCATAAGAGTTTAGAAGAGTGAATAAAAATGAGTGAGATCCAAATTATATAGGCGAGAATCGGTTTCTAAAGGCATCTGCATTCTGTGTATGTGTATGAACTTACAACTATTGAAAGCTGAAACAAGTACAGAAATACTACCTGTACAGGTTTTGAAATGCCACTATGCTATCTTGTTCATTTACATTGCTTTGTCCTGCTTTCTGCTCACGCATCTTCTGGAATTGCCTTTTTTATTAGTCAAAGCCTCCTTGGCAAATACTTTCCAGTTCAAGGAAAAAAAATCTCCCCCTAAAGATCAAATTGGCATTTCAGGCATTTGTAACTTGAGCAAAAGGTCAGCCAAATAAACTTTAAGAACCAGCTTGTACAGGATAGAAAATGTGTAAATGGGAAGCCAACTGAAGAGTTAGTAAAACAGTTGAATGCAAGCACTGAGAATGAAGTTTGGAGTGATTTTGTTCCAATGTGGAACACTTGATAGATAGTCCTGTTAACCTGGATTGCCTATGGGTCAGGGTCAGTGAATTATTTCTCAAAATTGAAATGCTTGAATTAGCCTTTAAGAGGCGTTCGATGAAAGTTTTAAACTGAAAGAACATGCTTTGTCATTCTGATTACTAGGACTTGGTTAAAATGCTGTCTTTCTCTGATATAATTTCCTTAAGCTGTTACTGTAATTGATTGTTGCAAATATGTAAAACTCTATAAATTTATCACTTTGTTAGTTTCTCAAATTACAGGCTAAAATGGTACAGTAGAGCTAAGATGATAATCTGTAGACCACAGTGTACTGCATAATAAGAATTGAGGACTCTTTCAGTAAGCATTATTGTAGCTTCAGAAATTCCCCACTACTAGAGCTGCTCTTTTGGTTAGGGTGGGATATAAATCAAATAAATACTTCCCTTTTCTTCCAGTGAAACCCTTTGAGAATTCCTGGTTTTGCTTATCTGATACCATGTAACCTATAGGACTGATTTATATTCTGACATAATGATATTATCTATTGAGCCAACTAGGAAATGCCCAAAGAACTTCACTCTTGGGAAGTTTTTTACAAACATGTATATTTGTGCTGAATTTCAGTGCCTCCCTTATTTTCGTTTTAACTTGGCAATTTACCTCTTTAAAAATAACAGAATGCCTACATGGACGGGGTTCTTTGGGTAAATCTGATATCTTTTATTAGACCAACTCAGTTAGTTGAAACAATTCTTCTTTTCAAGCTTTCGGGTATAAATATCCTTTGTCAGGCTGAGGAAGCATCTGCAGTTGGTCTGTGCTCTTCCTGCCCTCCAAGAACTTGAACACTTGACCTCTGGAAATCAGATCCTTTTAAAGTCTCTGTAGCCAAACTCAGTAGTTGGTATGAAAATCTTGGTCAAAAATTCTTTTCAAGTACCAGTTTCTTTTCTCAGTTACAAAATGCTGAGCATCATACAGATTTGGCAGCTACTTTTATCGTCATAGCTTTTTCCTTGCAAGGTTTATAGCTAGTTTATGTATAACATAATTTTGAAACTATTTCCATAGGTTTATTACCCGGTGAGACATCATTTGGTACAGCATATGGTTAGCGCCATGCAGAGGTTGGGCTTCACTCCCAGCGTTACCATTGAACAAAGAAAATTGGCTGTGGACCTTGCCGAAGTTGTTATCAAGTGGGAATTGCAGAGAATTAAAGATCAGCAGGTAGGAGGGTTAACCTTTTTTGTGAACATAGACCTCTCACCTTATTTATTTATTTATTTATTTATTTTGATGTGATTGTTACTGATATTTCAGCCAGACTCAGATATGGATTCAAGTGGAGCTGGAGAAGGAGCAAGTTCTGCCTCCTCTGCTGTTAAGAGAGGGCTGTCTGTTGATTCTAGCCAAGAAGTGAAGAGATTCAGGACCGCTACTGGGGCAATAAGTGCGGTAAGAAATATGCAGTTTCTTTTTCATTTTATAACCTGTTTGGGGTCTTACAGTTGTTAAGCAATATCTGTTTTTACTTTGCTGCATAATTTTATAGACCTCTGTTAACCTAATATGTATTCATGTTTGAATTGCAGACACATTTTTAAACTTGATTTTTGTATACTGTTGTCTCCTATTTTTTTTTAACTTGTTTATACAGGTATTTGGGCGTAGTCAGTCCCTGCCAGGAGCTGATGCACTTCTTTCCAAGCCAATTGACAAGCAGCATACGGATACAGTGGTCAACTTCTTGATTAGAATTGCTTGCCAGGTACTCCATAGGTCTAAAATGCATGTATCAGTGCATCATTGCAAGCAGTACAGGAAATGTTTTTCATAATAGTGTTTTCCCTCTAGTATAAACATGTGTTAACAATATTACAAATTTTGAAATTAATAAGAATGTTGTGTTATGTTCTTATACTAATTATTAACTTTTCTGGAAAGTGGGCTGGAAATGCCTTGGGGCATCCAAAAATCATTGGCCTTTTTTTTTTTTTTAAATGTTAGTCTGGAACTTTTGCTGGGGCTTCCTTGAATTTTTATTTAAAGACTCCCATTTTGTTAAACAGGCATTGGATAAGTCTCTTGGAGTAAAACAATATTGTGCAAACTTGTGTCTTTTTTGATTTTGTTAAATGACTGTCTCATCTTTGTAACTGTATTCTGAGACATCTTTATAGTTGGCGAGACAAATTCAGTTCTAAGGATCTCTTCAGAAAGTGACTTTATTTCTGAGGTATATTAAAAACTTGTTTCAGTAATAACAGCTTTTAGTTAGGGCTGTGCGAAATGGGCTCTATTAGTTTCAGATTCAGGCCGAATCAGGGACAGTGATTCTACTTGTTTATCTGGATCACTGTCCCTGATTTGATTTGGCCAAATCTGAAGATTTGATGCTGATTCAACGAATAAGCGATTCGGTCACAGGCACAGCTTTAAAAGTTTTTTTTCTTCATACCTGGAGGTAGTAGGCATGGCTCGTGATTGCTGCGGTGCTAAGGTGCATCTCACAGTAGCATGGGGGGGCTCTCCAGTGCTTGGCAGCGAACCTGGAAGTGGACTGGAAGTGCTTCAGGGTCTGCCGGGGAGTGTGCGCCCCCCCCCGTTTTGGTGATCGGGCTCGGGAGAAACCTGGATGCCACCCCCCAGACTTGGGAAGCACCAGTTGCTGAGAGGGGAGGTAAAGGAAGGGGGGGGGGGGTTTCCCTGTGCGCT